CGCCCTACGTGATGCATTCAAGCATCGCTCTGTCATAATACTGTGATAACCAGGCTGGTTCTCCTTGCGCCCCCCCCCCGCTACTCCCTCCGTCCCTCCCCTACTTTTTAGCTACAGGAGAGCGAGAACTCGGGATACGGAACGAAGAAGCGGACCTCCTAGCACCACTGTTCCTCGTGCGGCAGAAGGACGTTTAATAGGGCATCGAGACACAAGTGGATTAGCCCTTCAACAACGTAGCTGCAAGCGAGTTCTCTGGATACGCTTGTGCTTGTGAGCAACCGTGGATGTTGCTGTTGCTGCTGACCCACGATGTATGTGATATGCGTAGTGATAAGCGTCGTGACGTGCGTTGATAGCTACGGCTGTTTGGCTGTATCGAGGAGCGTAAGTACCAGTGTTGTGCACATCAGGAATCTTCATCGTTTGAGCCTCCCATCGTAACGCCTAGACGTGCGTTCGCGTGAGATGCCCGAGGAAAAATCGCCTGTGGTGTGGGGTACGTTCGTTTTGAGGTATCGATGCAGTGGAGGGAATTGTCGGGAGTCTACGTATGCGTGTACTAGAATTTGTTGAGGTTGTTCCTTGGTTTGATCTCCGCGTTGTAAATAGTCTCTTCTCGTTAAGAGTCACGGTTTGCTCGGAAACCGTATATACGTTCGTGCAGGACTTCGAACACCTGTCTTGGCGCTTGGAAGAGCTCTGTACCATGTGGTTGAAACCACGCCGTCTGTCGTGTAAAATAGCGAGGAGCACTTTGGGAGGGACCGGTTGTGATGAAACATGAAGGCCATGTAGTTGATGTCACGGTAGAAGTGAGTGTCGTTTGTCTACGAAGACATTGATTGAGCTTTTGTGCCACTGTGGGTCGGGATGAGAATATGTGTCGTTCCGCCATATCGTTCTTTTGTTAGTGTTTGACCTTGGACACGGTCGCGTGCCGGGACACATACGGGTACGTTGGTTGTTCCTCAAAATCCCATCCTTGTACACGTGAATGTTGAGGTATCGTGTTTGGTGGTGCCGTGCGTGGCTCAGCCAAAGGGATGCTAACCAATCAGGAAACCACGTGCCACAAACAAAAAAAAAAATGTCGGGAGATCTTGCTCGCGCGGCTAGGGCGTGGCAGTGCGGCCCTGAAAATTCTCGGGCCACCGATACGGCACCGGTATTCCGCTTTTATTTCCCATCATCATGTCATGAAAAAAGAGTTGAAACACGGGTAGCCGCTGCCACCTCTGTAGCAGCGCGAGTAGCTAAACAGCCCCCCCCTTCGCTTCCTTACCCTCAAGTCAGCTTCCACGGCTACGACCGCCGCGCGCTCTTCTCCCCCACGACACATCGTCGTCAAGCTCAGTACAACCGTCAAGGCGAGACACAAAACATGTTTTTCTACATCATCTGCTCCCCCGGCGGCAACACCCGGAATCATGAACAACCGCTTTTCGGCCAGTACCACACCCCCACCACCAGTGCTGCTTGCAGCAACGTGTGTCGGGTACAACCGGTATCCGAAGCTGGCGCGCAGCGTTTGCGGCGCGCTGTCAAAGCCACACAGGCGTACGATGGGACATGGCTACCCGCGGACCACCGAGAGCGGGTCCTCTTGTACAACGTTAAAAAAAAAAAACGCTTCAATTCTACTACGAGACCAGACCCGCTGGCCTGCGGCGGTAGACAAGAAGGTAAAGAGCATCTACGAGGCGCTTCGCATGCAACCCCTCTGACTCCGGCCCTCACAACTAACCCCGTTCTCCTTCTACCCCAACCCTCGGCGGCTACCACACGAAAGCACGTCCAAGCAATACAACATACCACGCAACGCCTGGCCCTGCCAAGAACTCATTCCTCTTGTTGAATCAACGTGTCACATCGTCTAGCGACGGCTGGGAGGTTTCGCCGCAAAGTTTGTAGATGCGTCAATTTCACCCGATGCTAGCCAGCAGGGTTCACTGCTGCTACCGGCGCGTCTCTTGCCCTGCAAACGTCTGTTTGTACACCGCTGTCTACTCTTCGTACTCCTCTCCCCGTTTCTAACCTTTTCGCAATGAATACTCTACCTTTGGTATCGAGGGCTCCGTACGGTGGTGTGTACCAGCAAGACCCGAATATCATAGCCTATAGACCGAGTTCTAATAAACATCGAAGAGACATCACGCCGACTGCAAAGATACAAACATAATCACACGCAACAGCAGTCTAGCGGTAACCTTAGTGACGAAAGCGACACACAATTTCACACACATCAACATCTTTCGCGAGGGAAAGGGACGTGCGACACCCCACACACCAAAATATAGAACGGGCTCCGCCAGCAGCACTCAAGAACCATCCCGTTTCTTACTTAAGAAATAGAGGCTCAAAAGTTCGCGAAAGGCAGAAAAATAGGGTCAAGAAACACAGCTCAGCGGTGGATCTTACACTACACTCTACATAACAACCTCCTGTGCCTGACGGGTACGAAGAACTACGAACCCATATCAGCCTCGACTCGAAATGTGACGTTTCGGAATTGCAGGTCCCTTTCGCTACCACTTCTATATATTTCTACATTCCTCGTTGCTCCAAAAACGCACCGCACAACTGCCAAGTGGACGCACGCGCGCGGGAAGGAGCGCCATCACATGGACACCACCGAGGTTCTCCTCACGAATCTTCCCCGCTTTTTCCTGGCTGGCTCCGCAGGAACCCCCTCCTCGCCTCCGGCTGTCTCCCCCGCCCCCGTCGCAGCAGCAATTGCCGAGCCTCCTACGCTAACCCCCGCCGCTTTCTCGCCCGCCAAAACAGCGGCCGTGGCGGCGGCTACAGCCTGCTTCTCGGCCGCCTTCTCCGCCAACGCTACCGCCGCCGAGCCCACAACCACCGCGCGTCCCAACGTCGCCGCATCTTGGCGGCTAGCCGCCTCCTCCTCCTCCTTCTGCTCGGTAGGGTACACGACCGACAGCTCGCCGACCTCCATGCCGTTGTGGTTCGCCTGGTACGAGATGTACACGTTCCAGAACACGCCCACGAAGCTGCTGAAGACCGGCCGGCTGAGCACCGGGACGAAGGCCGAGTTTATCACGCTCACCACCGGCCAGAAGAGGATCGCGTTCTTCAGCGTCGGCGTGAAGTCTCTTGACAGCTTGGTGCGCACGTCCCCCATCGTCTTCCCCTCCTCCAGCAGCGTCAGGGACGCGAACTGGGCGGCCAGCTGGGAGGGCACACGTTGGTCGAGCGCGTGGGAAATGATAAGCTGGCGTTCGTTGTGGTTTCATATAGGTCCGAGGTCTTTCGACCTATAAATAGATTATTTCGCGATCAGTTTTCAGAAACGCCCTCCGGGGGGCCAAACACGCATTTTCAGCGGAAACAAAAAAAAAACAACCGGGCGTTCTCGGATAGAGAGCTGGGGGGGGCAAGAACACATTGTCATCCCGCCGGGCGAATAACCGGTCGCCGGAGTGCTGATTTACTCTTCCATGCTCCGGGCACCCCTCGAGTACAGTGCTCAACTGCTTCACACACCACTATAAAGACGCTCAAAGATACGACGACAACAAAAACAGCGACAGCAGCAGCAGCAGCAGCAGCAACCGCAACCGCAACAGCAACAGCAACAGCAATAGCAACCACATGCCGAGATTTTCCGCGTAGGCCCCGCCGCCCGCCTCACCATCGGCGGAAGCACCGCCACGGACACCCCGAGCTTCGTCACCACCGCCCGGAGCGATCGCCCCGGGGCCAGGCGCTCGGCGTACATGTTCCACGCGAAGCTCGCGGGCGTCACGAAGAACGCGCCAGTTATCCCCATCCGCATGGTGCGGGCGTGGTCCCAAGCGAACTTTCTCTCCGTGCCAAACGTTTCCATCGCTTGGCAGACCGCGTCCCCTGTTTAAGACACACACCAGCAGCGCGAGAGGTTGGAGAAAGTGAACACGAGAGGCGGGGGGGGGGGGGGGGGGGGGGGTCCTCTTTTCTACCCCCATATGGCATTGTTCCTGATGTACGTGCCCGCTAGATGGACCAGCCCCTTCCGCAGGGCAGACGGGGATGCCCTTAACACCACCTGGTCCCTACGTCAACTCGAGTGTCCCACATTGCTCCGCGGGTGACGATGATCACTCCCCACCCACCCACCGCCCTTCCACACACCGCT